GGGATTGCAAGTAGGGAATCATTGGCTTTAATTTCTAGGATTTATTTATTTATTTGAAAGTCAGAGTTACACAGAGAGGAGAGGCAGAGAGAGAGAGGGAGAGAGGTCTTCCATCCGATGGTTCACTCCCCAATTGGCTGCAACGGCCGGAGCTGGGCAGATCCGGAGCCAGGAGCCAGGAGCTTCTTCCAGGTCTCCCACGTGGGTGCAGGGGCCCAAGGACTTGGGCCATCCTCTACTGCTTTCCCAGGCCACAGCAAAGAGCTGGATCAGAAGTAGAGCAGCTGGGTCTCGAACCAGCGCCCATATGGGATGTCGGCGCCTCAGGCAAGGGCGTTAACCCACTGCACCACAGCGCCAGCCCCAATCATTGGCTTTTATAACTGGCAAGTCCATCGTGGGCTGGTGCCTTAGGGATGCCTAAGGTAGCAACTCAGTGATTTCATCCAGAGCTCACTTTGTTTCCTAGTTCAACACCCCATCTCCCTTTACTGTCAGCTTCAGAGTGGGTGGGAAGACACAGCCCCCAAATGTTACACAAACCCCAAGCTTTACTGTGGCAGGACTACCCCTGGACTAGCAGGGCAATGCCCTGGGCTGATGGGCTGATATTAGAATCAATCACTGGAGCAAGGGTTGGTGGGAATGCTCTGATTGGCTTTGACCACTGAGCATAGGAATAGGTGAGTCCCACCCCCTCTCCATGGCTGCAACGTGCTGAGGTGGGGAATGGCAGGTGGGGTAGAATGTGTATTCGAGAAATAATCACAGTGTCCACATTGCAATTTTATTATGTTTTGTTTATACCCTCTGTCTTTTGTAAAATTTTAACTACTTATTATTGATTTGTAGGAGCTTTTTATATTTGATGAGTATTTCTCTGACCTTATATAAGTTGTGGATATTTCTTCCAGCCCATGGCTTATCTTTTAACTTAATTTCATAATCATTTTTATGGACAAAAATTCTGCAAAGCTCGGTGTGTCCAATCTGTCAGCCCTCTACACTACTCTTTTAATCCACTCAGGATTTGAAGTGGTCTGAGGAACAAAAGTGACATTTTTTTCAAGTTCTTGGTAATTAGAACTATACTCAGTGAATGGAATTAGTGTTCTGGAAACAAGAACCAGGAGACTAAGATTGTGTGATGGAGACTTTAGAGAAGTGGAACATTTATCTCAATTGTCCCAGCTTGTGTTGCCTTGTTAATAATGACAGTCTTTGCTCCCTTAGGAAAACTTGGATCTTGAAGGGGACTGCATGTTTTATACCCTCCTTGGGGACACTTACGTCCATGATTAAGACAGAGAGGCTTATTGGTTTTGAATCACAATTTAAGAAATCACAATTGAAGTATACCTTCGGAGATTTGGATTTTGTATCTCAAACCATTTTTTTAGAGAGCTTTAATCCTAAACAACCATCAAGATTCGACTTAGAAAAGATAAGTGCTTTTACAGATTAAGCATTCCCTCAGAAAACAGGAGGCTCCTGCCCAGCTCTCCACCACCTTTCCTGGTCCCAGTCACAGCACTTCCCTGCTGCGCTGTAATTGCTCAGGCCCTCGCGGAAACAGACAGTTCTCCAACAAAGAAATTAAAATGACATTTAGACATTTGGAAGCATGATCAGCTTCTCTCATAATTCATCAAATTCAAATAAAGAATGGCAGCTGATAAATGCAGACAAAAGGACCAAGTTAGAAAGTCATCATTTCACAACCTCTGCTGCTGACTCAGTGAAGGACTCCCAGTGGGCGAGATTCTGGACATCCACACGTACTGCTTGGCCGTGGAGAAATGGACATTGGTGCCACAGAGACGTGTGGGCATCCCCTAAACCACGTAATCAAGGTTGGCATCATTTATAGTGGGGGTCAGGACATGGTGTGCCTCCTGATGCAGGTGAAATGGAGCACGCAGCACCACCCTTGCAGGATTAACTAAATTCCTGCCCCCAGAATTTTAACCTAAATCTAATGCATCCATCAATCTAGATAGTAATTTATAGAAGATTTAGGGGAGAGTATAAGAACTGAAAGGACGCCAGAGGAAGCAACCAAATCCCAGACATTGTATGAGACACCGGCCCAGTCCGCTCATGAGTCAGTGCCCAGGGGAAAAGGAGTGAGGTCCATTCTCACTGAGACGCTTGAGAGATGAAGCAAGATTTGCTGGATGGTCCTTGACTGGATGGATCCTGGTTGAAATCTGCTATAAAGACATTTCTGGAGAAAACTGGAGAAATGGAATATGAATCAGATTTTTACAGTCTTATAAATTTTTTAAATGTGAAAGTTGTGTTTGTGTAAGAAAATGACCTGGCTTAGATATAAAGTAACTGATACTTTATGAAGAAGAATTTAGTTGGCAAAATATCATCATGCCTATAGTTTATTTCAAAATACATCACCTCCCCCAACCAAACAAAAATGACAATTTTTTTTAAAAGATTTTATTTATTTGTTTGAAAGGTAGAATTACAGACAGAGGGAGAGACAGAAAAGTCTTCCATCTGCTGGTTTACTACCCAAATGGCCACAGAGGCCAGAGCTGCACCGATCCAAAGCCAGGAGCCAGGAGCTTCCTCCAAATCTCCCATGCGGGTGCAGGGGCCGAAGCACTTGGGCCATCTTCCACTGCTTTCCCAGGCCATGGCAGAGAGCTGGATCAGAAGTGGAGCAGGCAGGACAGGAACCAGTGCCCATATGGGATGCTGGCACTGCAGGCAGTGCCTTAGTCTACTAAGCCACAGTGCCAGCCCCTCACAAATTTTGAACTATTATTATATCTGGATGATGGGTATCTGAGTATTCGTTGAGCTATTTTCTTTGAATTTTCAAGTTTGAATTTTTTATCTAATGAAATTTTTTAAAAAAAGATACTACTTTCTAGCCGTAGATTGACAATGAAAAATTAAAGTTTGGGGGCAGGTGTTGTCTAGTGGTTAAAACACCAGTTCAGATGCCTGCGTCCTGCATCGGAGTACCTGGGCTCAAGGCCGAGCTACAGCTCTTGACTCCAGCTTCCTGCTAATGCAGACCCTGGGCGGGTGGCGATGATGGCGTGATTGGATTCCTGCCACCCACCCACATGAGAGACCTGGGTTGAATTCTCTGGTCTTTGTGGGGCATTTGGGTAGTAAACCAGTGGATGGGATTCATTCTCTCCCCCCCCGCCAAATAAAAGAAGAGTGAGGTTTTTTTGTTTTTGTTTTTGTTTTTTTTTAAAGAAGTTTGAAAACATACTGTTTTGGCAGGGGTGTAGGGAATGAGTATTTTCCTCTATTATTAGTGGAACTTGGAACCTGTTCGGAGGGACCTTGGCAAAGACATGTGCTTTAATCCAGCAGTTCCACATCTAAGAATTTAACGTGGATTTTACTCAAATTCCACAATGAATAAGGGTATCCATGGCAGCTTCATTCTTGTAACAAAAGACTAGAGACAACATACATGTCCAACAATAGGAGCTGATGGTACCCATATGTTATGAAGTATGGATTAGGCATTTTGTGCAGGAAACAGATTTCCAAGGAGTGTTGCTGGATGAACAAAGCAAACAGTGCCAGAAAGTCCTGCTTGTGTTACTCAGTGTTGTGTCCGTGGCGCCGGGCGCAGTGGCCCACAGTCAGTGCAGGCTGAGGGAGTAAATTCACGTTTGAGTACCACTGCTGCTAGGCTCCCAGCATGCAGTCAGGTGCAGCCACAGGTAGGGCCACAGTTTCCGTCCTGAACAAATTTCTTCCTTGAGTTCACAGATACTTCAATTTTCCCATAAAACGTACCATGTCCTCCTTTGCAAAATCAGTGAACAACAAATTCTGAAGGGAAAGAAGGAAAACAATTTCTGTAAAAGGGTAACAAGAAGAATTTGCTAGCAGGGGAGGTTAATGTAACACCAGGGATGTCATAGAGAACACAGTTCCCTGCCTCTGGCAGCCGAGAACATAGGGAAGGCCGTGGACCCAGAACCCCTACACACCAGAGGAAGGAAGGAGCTGACTCCTCAGGGGCTGTGCCTTCGATCCAGGCTCCCGTGCCCAGAAGTCTTAGAAGCACAGGTGTAGCAGGAGATGGGGACAAACTGAGCTCACCTTCCTAGTACTTCCATTTGCATCTGCCATCTCAACATCTGCTTCTGTTCGCTCAGTGGCAAATAAATGAAACACACTTCCATGGTAAGGGGAGCATGGCGTGTTAGGGAACGGGATGTCCAAGTTCTCGGAAGTTTAGGATAGATCGTGTGTGACAGCAGAGGCATCACCGCTTTATTTGGACTCTGGTTGTGTCTTGGTTTCCTGGGGAAGGTGTGACCTCTGGCCATGACTCACCTGCTCAGGTTGATAAATGCCTGCTGTGCTGTTGTTTATATTATTATGTTTTCTTGACCTTGTGGCTAGGAGCAGGAACGCTGAAGCCAGACTGCCCAAGTTCAAGCCTCAGCTCCACCGCTCAGTAGGCAAGTGACCTTGGGCAAGGTCACTTAACCTCTTGGTGCCTCAGTTTCCTCCCCTGTAAAACGAGGCTAAGGGGATTCTTGTGGGGGCTGACTGGGCGAACCGTGCCTGGGCCCACAGTATGTGTGTAAAATAAATCGGAGTGTGTTCCCTTCTGCCCCAGAGACCCTTATAAGGGGGAAGGAGAGTCAGCAAATAGCAGCTTCAAAGAGAGGCCCGCTGGTTCTGGGCACTGCTTTCCAAACGGAGGAGAGCTCTGCCACACCAGTTGTCCTGAGAGGTGTCTGCTCCTTGGAAGGCAGGAATGCGTCTGTCATGGTGGCATCTTTGGCGGGTGACCGGCCACGTCCTAGGAGCTGCTTGCGCTTCCTTGCACCCCTTCCCAGGAGACTGACGCCACCGAGGAACTGGTGGCTTTCCAGGCGGGCGCGGGCCCGGGGCGGCGGCTGCGAGGCAGGGGGCTGGGGGAGGGGGGGAGGCGCTCCCGGGATCCCCGGCCCCTCCCCCACCGGCCCAGTGAGTAATGACATTCATCGGGAGGGAGGGGGCAGGCTCGGCGAGGCCATGTGATGCTGGGCGAGAGCGAGTCGCGCCGCGCCGCCGGAGCCTCCTTCCTGGCTCCCTGCGATTGCGGGCCGTCATGGCGACCCCCAATAACCTGACCCCCACCAACTGCAGCTGGTGGCCCATCTCGGCGCTGGAGAGCGATGTGGCCAAGCCGGCGGAGGCCCCCGACGCGCCCGAGGCGGCCAGCCCCGCCCATCGGCCCAAGGAGAGCCTGGTTCTGTACCACTGGACCCAGTCTTTCAGCTCGCAGAAGGTAGGGCCTGGGGGCTCCCGAGATGGCGGAGGGGGTGCTCCCAGGAGGTGGCTGGCCCTGTGCGGGCTCCAGGAGCGCAGCCCCCCAATTCCAGGGGCGCCCATTCTGCCTCTTCCCCATCCCCACCCCGAAAGGCGCGGCGTGCTGAGGGGCTCAGGAGAGAGACAAAGACAAGAGGACGGGCCTGGGCTCTGCTGCGGGGGCGGCCGCGGGGGGCACAGGTGCTGGGGGTGGGGCGCGCAGTGGAGGGGATGGAAGGCAGAAAAACCTCCTGGGGTCCTGCCCCAGGGGCCGCATCGCAGACCCTGGCGCAGGTCACTGCTCCTCTGCCCCCTGTCCTAGATGGGGCCTTCGTCCTGCTGGGGCTTGGAGAGTCTGTCCCCGGCAGCCATGCCCCACCTTCTATCTTGAGCTGAGAGGGAAGGAGTTAACCCATCCCCTTGGGCCAGCCCTACTTGGCCCAGCACGTCCAGGTTTCCCCTCTTAAAGACACAGAGTGGCCTGGCCCCTTAGACCCTTCTCAGACCCAGGGAGCTGGGCCAGCAGCGGGGAGTCCAGCCTGGTGCTGAGTTGCTGGGTTTCCCGCTTCCTGGGGCAGGGCTGAGGCCTGGACTGCACCCCTAGGGGCGCACTCTCCCACCCGTGTCTCTGGCAGGGATTCAGCACCATGGCCAGGGCCTGAGCCAGACACCCACTGGCTGCCTGACCTTCCTGCTCCTCTTTGTTCCATCGGCTCATTTTCTAGATGAAGAAATGGATACCATAAAGGGAAAAGGCCTTGGACCAAAGGACTTGGGTCTGAGTCTGAGCCCAGGGGCAGTCTCACCACCTGGGAATTGGTAGAACACGGAATATAGCAGTGACAGCTGCTTCTGATTCCAGGGTCTGCAGGAGCTAAGAGGGCTGAAGAGGCCATTAACTTAGTGTTCTATTCAAACTTGAGTATGTGAGGATCGTGGGAATCCCTCTTTAAAACATAGTCTGCTGGATTCTACCCCAGAAATTCTGGTTGGGGCCCCAGGTGTGTGTCTCCAGCCAGCTGCGGGCTGGTGCTGCTAGGGCAGGCCCACTGACCCCCTCGGAGTAGCCCCTATTTAGAGTGCAGACTCAGAGGCCACACTGTCCCCAGCAGAACTGTTGTCTTCCTATAACTCACTGTGGTGCTTTCACAGGTCGCTTGGCCTCTCCAAAGCCTCAGCTGTATAACCTGTAAAATGGAGCAATGCAGTAGTCTCCTTAGAGGGCTACTGAGAGGGTGGAATGAGGTGATGCACAGACGGTGCTGATGGGTGGTGCCTGGCAGGGGGTCAAGGCCCTGCTAGTAGTGGGTGATGTGACGTCATTGAAGTGTCACGTAAAGGAGGGGCAAGGGCTGACCAAGGTCGTACCAGGGCTCATCCATAAATTTGGCTCATGCCTGCTCCATGGCCAGCCCTGTGCAGGAGCTGGGGAGTGGCTATGCATCGGTGTGACTTCCTGATTGTAGAACCTTCTCCCACCCAGCCCCTCAGGAACCAGGCGCCAGTGGCTGGGACTGGACAGGGGACAGGGGCGTGGCACCTCTTGTTACCTTTTCCCAAGGGAGCCTTCTGTCCCCCTCCCCCAACCCCACCCCAATGGTAAAGTCCCCATTACCCTGACCTCAGGGTTCAGGTGGTCCCTTGGTCAGGGATGAGACCACCCACTACTACCCCACTTTTGACCAGTTCTCTGACTGAGCTAGCCTGAGTGTCTCCCTGCCTCCCCTGCCAGGGCCTTCGCAGACGCCCATGGTGGATTCTAGGGCCAGACTAGCCTGGCAGAAAGGGTGTGGGCTCAGCAGTCAGATGGTCCAGGGTTCCAGTCTCATCAGAGTGGCTTACTGGCTGAGTGACTTTGGACAAGTCACTTCACTTTTCTGTGCCTCAACATCGTTGTCTGGAAAAGGGAACTTGTGTATCCTGCAGAATACAAGGTATTGCTGAGTGCTTTAGAGGAGATGGGTCTGTATGGCTGTCCCAGGACATATACATGTGAGTTCCCTTCCTTCCCCCCAGTCTCCAGAGGCCTTGCTTGCATGCAGAGAGCCCTCTGCTTTGTGGAGGGTCTGAGAAGCTTGCCTCAATGACACCTGAACTATTCACAGCAGAAAACAGCCCACCTCCAGGAGTGACGGCAATCCCACTGGGTATGTGGGGCCCACTCAAGAGCCAGAGGGCAGCAGGACAGTGTGGGGTGCAGAGCCCAGGCTCTGGGGCCAGACTGGCCAGGCTTCCGTCTCAGGTCTGCCACAGACCAGCTGAGTAGTCCTGCACAAGTTCCTAACCTCTCGTGCCTCAGTTCTCCACATGTGTAAGAAAAATGCAGGGCCCAGCGGGGTTGCCGTGAGGATTCAGTGACCACATTCGTGTAAATCACTGGGAAGCGCACTCAGCAAGACTGTCATAGGGAGGGGACTTCACCGCTGGCCAGCCTCAGGTCAAACCCTAGCCCTGCCACTGCCCCGCTGGGAGGCCTTGTGTGAGGGTCTTTGCCTCTCTAAGTCCCACCTTCTTCCTGGGGTGGCAGGATAGGGCATAGCCACGCCTGCCTCGGGGGTTGTGCAGGTTGATGTCCCACATGGTCACGCACTCAGCACAAAGCCCTTAGACATGGCGCACTAAGTGTGAACTTGGCAGGTGAGGGCTGTAAGGTGTGGTACAAATGCTCCCAGGCACCTGCCCCCAGCCACCGAGACCTCCTTTGGTGGCAGAAGCGAGGCTGAGAAGGGCAAAAATGCAGGGAACCAGCCTTCAGTTTTCTCAGCAGGAGAATGGACTGATGTGTGATACAAATTGCTCCCTCCCTCCCCAGACAGGAAGCTGCTCGGTTTCTCAGTGTCTCCTGCCTTTTTCATGTCCTTCTGTCCTTACACCTGCCAGTTTTTTTTTTTTTTCAAAACCAAGATTGCTGCTTACTAGCTGTGTGACTTTGGGCAAGTTACTTACTGTCTCTGTGCCTGTGTCCTCTTTTGTAAAATCAGGGTGTTAATGGATACCTAGCTCACTCGATGTTTGTGAGGATTTGAGAGAAGACGGCTAAAGCTCTCAGAGCCGTGTCCAGCACCACGGAAGTGCTGGATGAGAGTTAGTTGTTATCGTTGCTGCCTGAGGACCACCCGTGGATCCTGCAGCGAGTGCAGTTCGAGGTTCCCTGACCACATCCTCAGAGTCCGCTCTTGTCTTGGATGCGCCTGTGGAGAGCTCCCGGGCCAGTCTTCGGCCCTCAGTGGTAAGAGACTCAGGTCTGGGTCCTGACATGCAGGCAGGGCAGGGAAGAAACAGATGAAGGATGACCTCTGCCCCTTGTGCAGACTCTTGGGCACTGGCTCCCTGGCCCTATACTCATGCTGCACTTGACTGTTCAGTGTCCACAGGCAAGAACCAGCAGGGCGATATGCAGCACCTGTCCCCGCTCCCCTGCTCAGAGGCCTACAGTGGCTCCCCAGTCCCTCCCAGCGGCCTCAGGCCCTACTGCACAGTCCCAGGCTTGCTAGGGTCCCAGCCAAGTGAGAGGATGCCTAGGGGCGCTTCTCTGAATATTATTTTTAACTGAATAAAATAAAACGCGTGAGAGTATTAGGTTACAAAAAGCAACATCATATTGAAGTACAGCTATCGAAATATTTTTAAAACAAGTATGTTATATAATGACATATGTGTTTCCATATTAACCCATTACATAACCCGAGCTAGTGGCAGGTCTGCTAAGCGCTGTCGTGTTGAAGTCACGATGAGCTACGTGGAATTTCGGGGTAGCTGCAGCAGTGGGGAAGTGCTGCTAGCACCACCATACTTATCGCCTACATTCATAATTGAAGGAAATGCTAAATGTCAGTCTGACATAAACATGTAATTTTCCCATCCATCCTAGTTCAAAGACTCTGAGCTTATCCACGTGGGGGCCTCTTGGTCTGGGAGTCTCCATCACAAGTCCCTGCTGTGCCCCTTTCTGACCTCACCTCCTCCTCATCTCCCCGTCTCCCCATCACTCTGCCCCAGCCACTCTGGCTTCCCTCCTGTTTTGGGAACTTACTGGACATGTTTTCCCCTTGCAGGCTTTGCACTGGCTGCGCCCTCAGCCTGGAACTCCCTGCCCCAGGTCCCTGTGTGTGTACCACTCCCTCCGCTTGTTCCACGCTTGGCCCTATCCACAAGGCGCGCCCTGCTGGTCCACCCCACTTAAATTGCCACTCATCTCCCCAGCGCTAGGCACCCTGTTCCCCTTCCCCACCATCTGTTGACTGTACTGTAGCATCTTAACTGCTTCTCCTCCATCTGCCCCACTAGAAGGGCAGCCCCCCCCCCCCCCGCTGTGGGCAGGGGTGTCTCTAACACTTAGAACAATATGTGGCACAGAATAGATACTCAATAAGTGTTGAAAAGTGATGAGTCTGCAAGCCAGAAGGTGTTACAGGAAAAAGATATCTGTTTCTGTAAGCCTGAAACCACTCTAAAAAAAATAGTCTATTAATTATTTTTAAAGATAGTTGAGATAAACTGAGGCTCAGACTCCAAATGCCTTTACAAAGTCACACAGCAACTAAACGGCTGAGCGGAGATGCCAACCCAGTCAGCATCACACGTGGGACAGTGCCTGAGCCACGGCACGACGCATCAGTGGGCTGTTTTCGGGCTCCCACGGGGCAGAAGCTTGGCCCTGGGCTGCATGAAGCCTGGTCACACTGGGTGTGGGCCTTGGTGGCTGCGTGGCCTTCCCTTGGCTTGGCTCCGCTCTGGGTCCCCCACCCACAGGATGGCACACGTTTCTGGCCTGCTCAGATAAAGGAGACCCTGGGCAGCTCCAGACAGCGTTACTTTACCTCTGAAGGCAGTCCCCTCCCCCAGGCAGCAGCCACAGCTGGCACCCTCACTGGAGTCCCAGAAAGAGCAGGGGGCACCCTGCCAGGATGGAAGGCCAAGGGCAAAAGCCTGGTTCAGTTGCCATTTGCATGTATTCAGCTGGGTAGGGAGGCTGAATGGCTGGGTAGAACTCAGCTGCTGAGGCTGAAGGAGACCAGGGTGAGTAGAAATAGAACGAATGGTTTTGCTCCCGTCAAATCCCAGCCTCAACTGCTCTGGGGCTGCTACAAGGCCACAGGCCACCCTGGAGCTCAGATGCACATGGGCATACCCACTCTTGCTCATGCGCACTCACATCTGCACATATGCTCTCACGCAGGGCGTGAGTGCCCAGAGTCCTGTGCACGCACACATACTCGCCCACATTCATGCACACATACTTGCTCACTCATGCGCCCCACTCACACACTCACACACCCAGACCCATATAGCTGCTGCTGGGGCTGCTCACTTTCTGCACCTGCTGCTTCTGCTGCCGCGGAGGGAAGGGGAGCCGCCCTGTCTCCCGCACAGCGTGAATGTGCTGTCAGCTCTCAGCAGGGCTGCAGGACACTCCTTGGACACAGAGTCCAGACCCCTTGTTTTGCTAAGGAGAAACAGGGGCTCAGAAAGGGGCAGCAATAGCCCTAAGGTCACACAGCACTGCTGGGACAGAGAAAGGATGAAAGTCCAATCCCAGCCTCCCAGCCCAGGGACTATTCCTGTACCTCGGGCCCCACCTGTAGGACCTGCTTTTAGCTAACAGCAAATCAAGCCATGAAGAAGTGCTGGAGGCCGGCGCCATGGCTCACTAGGCTAATCCTCCGCCTAGCGGCGCTGGCACACCGGGTTCTAGTCCCGGTTGGGGCGCCAGATTCTGTCCCGGTTGCCCCTCTTCCAGGCCAGCTCTCTGCTGTGGCCAGGGAGTGCAGTGGAGGATGGCCCAGGTGCTTGGGCCCTGCACCCCATGGGAGACCAGGAAAAGCACCTGGCTCCTGGCTTCTGCCATCGGATCAGCGCGGTGCGCCGGCCGCAGCGCACCGGCCGCGGCGGCCATTGGAGGGTGAACCAACGGCAAAGGAAGACCTTTCTCTCTGTCTCTCTCTCTCACTGTCCACTCTGCCTGTAAAATAGAAAAAAAAAAAAAAAGAAGAAGAAGTGCTGGGTGCTCAGGGCTTGATTCTTTCTCCTTCCCCACACTCCACCAAACAGAAGGGCGTGTTGAGGTTAGCTGTGAGGGTAGGGTGCCAAGTACTACAGGACATCAACAGGGGGTTCAGGAGCGCACGTGTGTGTGTGTGTGAGAGAGAGAGAGAGAGAGAGAGAGAGAGAGAGAGAGATCACAGTGATGTCAGAACCCACATAGTACTCTCCATTCCGGGACTCCATCCACATCACCCCGTCCCTACCTCATGCCAGCTTCGAAAAAGCATACCACATTGCCCATTTCATGGTAACTAGAGATCAGAGAGGTCAACTGACGCGTTCAGGCCCACACAGCAACAACAACAAAAACATGCCGAGGAGCCACGCTTCAGATCCAGATCTGGCCGCCTCCAAAACCAAATCTAGTGCAAGTAGCCGAGACACATTGCCCCTGCTGGGCACCAGGCACCGTCCCACGGGGTCTGACACACCTCATCCTCACAGCAGCCCTCTGGGGGAACTGCTGTAGGGCTTCCAGGAAAGGAAACTGAGGCACACAGAAGTAGAGCTACCTGCAGAGCCAAGTCAGCCAGAGCTGCCCATGACAGCAGGAGGCCTCCGCTGGGTGTGCACTTCCTGGCTCTGGCAGCAGGAGTGTTGGTGGGGAGGCCGGGGATGGCCAGGCCCAGGAACTGCCCACTGTGTGGGGTGATTCCTTGAGAACTGACCTTGCCTGTCTGGTAGCCCTGCTCTCTGGGCTGGAGCCAGAGGTAGGGAGGAGGGTGTGGGAGCTGACCACGTGCCATCCTGTCGGCGGAGGGGCGGCTTGCGCTAGGTGCTCCTCCTTGCTGAATCTCCATCCACAGGTGGGGGGACTGGACCGGGTGATCTAACCATCTCCCAGCTCAGAAACCTGGGGCTGGCTCAGGAGCATGCTCAGTCTCAGGGCTGTCTGTTAGCTCCCACGAGATATAAGGAAAGACCGAGGGTGGAGGTAGGGGTGGGGGTAGGAGGGGTGAGCCTGGAACCCCTGGAGGAAGCCGTCTGAGCAGAGAACACTGGGATAGGAGTCAGCAATGGTTGCTTCCGGCCCTAAGTCTGCTGCTGAATTGCTGCTGTTTGACTTTGGGAAAGTTACTTCCCTTCTCGGAGCTTTAGTTTTCTCGGCAGGAAAGATAGGAAACTGCTCCTTGATCTGCCCTCCTCTGGGGAGCATCCAGGTGGGACGCTGTCAGAGGATAATAAAGGGCTCAGCGGATGTGGGCAAATCATTTTTCTCTACCTGTTGTTCCTCAAGTAGTTTGAAAAAGTTAACTCTCGATTGTGGTGATGAGAAAGTCTGCCCCTGTGTCCTGCTGGTGATCAGTCGTGGCGTGGGTGTCTGGGTACCGGGCCTTGGGTTGGTTCTGCTCATACTCCCATCCTGCCTGGAGGGGAGCTGAGGCCCAGCAAGTGCAAGGCATTTGCCCACAGGACCAGCGTCCTATCCCGGCTGTGCCCAGTTGTAAACCAGCCCCTTACCCAGCAGGCAGCACTGCCCCTTGTGCCCCGGCATAGCCGGGCTCTTCCCACCACCAAGTGCACGTCCCTGGCAGCTCTGCCCCAACCCAGGTGCCCAAGAACAGGCTGAAAGCAACAGTGTCCCCTCCTGTGTGTGACCTCTGACCTCCCTCCCTGCACGCCCCCGCCCTGCCTGGGCAGAGTGTCCCCTGTGTCCACCCGCCTTCCCCGCTCTGCCCCTGGCGCCTGCAGGTGCGGCTGGTGATCGCCGAGAAGGGCCTGGCCTGTGAGGAGCGGGACGTGAGCCTGCCGCAGAGCGAGCACAAGGAGCCCTGGTTCATGCGGCTCAACCTGGGCGAGGAGGTGCCCGTCATCATCCACGGCGACAACATCATCAGTGACTATGACCAGATCATCGACTACGTGGAGCGCACCTTCACCGGAGGTACAGCCCCCGCGGGGCTGCGTGCACTGCGGGACACCTCGGAGATCCGCCAGGGTCATGGGCGAGGCACCGCGGGGCGACAGGCAGGCTCCCCGAGGACCCCCGGCAGAGGGCAGGGCCCGGACACTTCTTAGAAGTACTGGGGCTACAGCCCCTTCCCCAGGAGGCCCGGAGTCACAGGCAGGGCCACGGCCCCTCGGGAGTCCCTCAGTCCCCACAGACAGGGTCAGGATCTCCCGGGGTCCTGGGGCATGGGCAGGACACAGGCAGGGCCAGACTCCTCAGAGCACAGTGCGCTGTCCCAGACACCCCGAAGCCCACAGCAGCGCGTGGTCTCCCTCAGGAGCTCGCTGTCCACCACCGAGGCAGAAGGGCCTCAGGGCTCAGGCAGGTTCTGGGTGAAAGGAAGGCTCTTCAGTCCTGGACGTCCATTCTCTGGAAGTCAGGCAGCACTGGGCCTAGACCCCATCTGGCCACAGGTTTTAAGCAGAGAGGAGCTGGCTGTCAGGGGGACAGCTTGACAGCCCAGCAGGAGAGGGATGGGCCCGGGACCCCTGGATGCTACCCTTTGTGGTCTGGGGGTGCTAGGGTGGGTGTCTGAGGCGGAGCCCTGCTGGTGCCTGCAGAACATGTGCTGGCCCTGATGCCCGAGGCGGGGAGCCCACAGCACGCACGGGTGCTGCAGTACCGCGAGCTGCTGGATGCGCTGCCCATGGACGCCTACACGCACGGCTGCATCCTGCACCCCGAGCTCACCACCGACTCCATGATCCCCAAGTACGCCACGGCCGAGATCCGCAGTGAGTGCCAGGCGCAGCCAAGCGAGCCCCCCCGCTGCCCCCCCTCTCTTTGGACAGAGTCCTCTCTCCTGGGTCTCTCTCTCTCTCTCTCTCTCTCTCTCGTGGGCGTGCATGCTCTGTGTGTGTGTGTGTGTGTGTGTGTGTCTCCGTGTGTGTCTTCCTCTGCCTCCTTCCTCCCACCTCTTCCTCTCTCTTGCTGTCTCTGTTGGTCTCTGCCTCGTCTGGGCACCCAGTGCTCTTTCTCCTTTCCGTCTCTTGCTGCTTTCTCGCCCCCTGTCTCTGGCCTTCCATCTTGTTCACCGTGTTCCTAATTAAATGCGCCCGTCCTCCTCTCCCAGTGTCTCTCTCTCTGTGTCTCTCTCTCCTCTCATTCCTTTTTCCTGCCCCTACTCTCCCTCTCCCCCTTACAACCCTTGTAGTGGCCATGGGGTTATTTGTCCTATGTAGGGGTTTGTCTGATTCTTGAAGATTATTTTTTAAAAAAAAGATTTATTTTATTTATTTGAAAGAGTTACAGAGAGAGGTAGAGACAGAGAAAGAGGTCTTCCATCCACTGCCCAAGTGGCCACAACGACCAGGGCTGGGCCAGGCAGAAACCAGGAGCCAGGAGCTTCTTCTGGCTCTCCCATGTCGGTACAGGGGCCCAAACACTTAGGCCATCTCCTACTGCCCACCTAGGTGCATAAGCAGGGAGCTGGATTGGAAGTGGAGCAGCTGGGACTTGAACCGGTGTCCATGTGGGATGACGGTGCTGCAGGCCAGGGCTTCAACCCGCTGTGCCACAGCATCGGGCCCCTTGAAGATTCTCAGTAGACAATCAGTGCTCAGTAAATGATCGCTTCCTCCCTCTGAAAGGAATGAGGCTGATGTCCAAAGGTGAGGGGGTGGGGTGTCAGGTTGAGGAACTTAGCCCTCTCCCTTTAGAATCCCCTTGAACAAGACTCGGAACATATCTATACAGTCCTGCCCATATTCAGTCAACAGCACTTATAAAAGCTCTAGACAGAGGGCCAGGGACAGACGGGGACAGACACAGCTGTTACCATCCCAGGGTCATGGTTCTGTGGAAGCAAAGAAAGTAACCAGTTAGTTACAGTACGAGACTAAGTAAGTTTGAGCAGCCTCTCTGAAGGGCAGTGTGGCTAGCCTGTCCCAACCCGAAAATGACTCACACCTTGGGAATGATCCAAGGTTACACTTGGAAGTGTGCACTCACAGGTCGGAACAGGATATTCACTGCAGCACAGAGGGCAACAGCAAGAAATATCACTGGAAATAACCCAGCTATGCATGAGTCAAGGACTGGGAAAATAAGCTACAGTACTTCCATACATGCGGATACTGTGCAGGTGTCTAAAATTTAACAGGTGTATGGAATGCTATCATGTGAACCTGGGATGCTCTCCCAAGTGCACCTAAAGGGGCTAAACACACAGGTTGTTTGCATTGCAAAGGGGACTTCTGGAAGGATGTGCAAGAAGCTGCTGGTGTGTTTCCCTTGAGGCAAACTGAGGGACCACAGGTGGAAAGAAGAGAAGTTTACTAAACAGTTGTTCTTGTAAAGACTTATTTATTTGAGGAGACCAGGAGAAGCACCTGGCTCCTGGCTTCGGATCAGCACGGTGCGCCGGCCGCAGCGGCCATTGGAGGGTGAACCAACGGAAAAGGAAGACCTTTCTCTCTGTCTCTCTCTCTCACTGTCCACTCTCCCTGTCAAAAAAAAAAAAGACTTATTTATTTGAAAGACAGAGAGAGAGAGCAAGCAAGAGAGCTCCTCTCTCTTTTGATTCACTTCCAAGATGACTCAACAGCTAGGGCTGGGCTAGGCCAAAGCCAGGAGCCTGGAACTCCATCCAGGTCTCCTACCTGGGTGCAGGGAACCAAGCACTTTTCAGGTGCGTTAGCAGGAAGCTGGAGCAGAAGCAAAGCAACTGGGACCCAAACTGGCGCTTGAATATGGGATGCTGATGTGGCACATGGCGGCTTAACCCACTGCACCACAATGCTGGCCCCTCCCATACATTCTTTAATCTGAATTGTTAGCAAGTATGCATGTATAACCTGTTCAAAGTAAGTGAGTGTAACAATGTTCCATCCAGTACCCATCAGCATTATAATCCAGGCAGCAGCATCGAGGCTGTGGGACCAGAATGCAGCAACATCCAAGGATGAGTAGGAGGTGGTTGGAGAAGGAGAGGGGCATCGTTATCGTTTCGGATCCTGGGTGGGACAGGATGTGGTGTGGTGGGAGCTGATGTTAGCCCAGGAGCTGGCACTGGCCGTGGTGTGAGTCTGGGGGGTGGTCTGGCAGGAGAGGGATTTCATCCAGAGAGCAGAGGAGAAAGTGACAGGAAGGGCGCTTCCCAGAGAGCAGTGTGCATAGAACGCTCAGAGCCCCGCTGTCTTCCAGGTGAGCAATGATGCCTGGCCTGGGGCAGAGACAGGCCCAAGGGCAGCTGGAGGTGTCCTCCCAACCTGTCCTGAGCCACTTGAAGGTGCCCGGGCTACTCCTTCCTTTGAAGAGGCAGAGAAGGGGCCAGCGATGTGGTGTAGTGGGTACAGCCACCGCCTGCAGTGCTGGTATCCAAAATGGGCGCTAGTTCAAGTCCCAGCTGCTCCACCTCCAATCTAGCTCTCTGCTATGTCCTAGGAAAGCAGTAGAAGGTGGCCCAAGTAATTGGGCTCCTGCACCCACGAGGGAGACCTGGAGGAAGCTCCTGACTCCTGGCTTCAGATCAGCGCAGCTCTGGCCATTGTGGCCATCTGGGGAGTGACCAGCAAATGGAAGACTCTCTCTCTCTCTCCCTCTCTCCCTCTCTCCCTCTCTCCCTGCCTTTGCCTCTCTGTAACTCTGCCTTTCAAGAAAATAAATAAATCTTTTTTTTTTTTGACAGGCAGAGTGGACAGTGAGAGAGAGACAGAGAGAAAGGTCTTTCTTTTGCCGTTGGTTCACCCTCCAATGGCCGCCGCGGCCAGCGTGCTGTGGCCGGCGCACCGTGCTGATCTGAAGCCAGGAGCCAGGTGCTTCTCCTGGTCTCCCATGCGGATGCAGGGCCCAAGGACTTGGGCCATCCTCCACTGCCTTCCTGGGCCATAGCAGAGAGCTGGCCTGGAAGAGGGGCAACCGGGACAGAACCGGCGCCCCAACCGGGACTAGAACCTGGTGTGCCAGCGCCGCAAGGCGGAGGATTAGCCTAGTGAGCCGCGGCGCTGGCCGAAAATAAATAAATCTTTAAAAAAATAAAAAGGCAGAGAGGATCTCAGGGCCCCTGCCAGGGGAGAAGGGACCTCAGGGGTTGCAGAAGGAGCATCACCCAGCCTGCAGAACCCTTCCAGTCAGCCCAACGTCTTCCCCGGCCTGGCCTGGCCTCCTGCAGTCTAAAGAGAGCGCCACGGGCAGCCCCAGTGACTGGCAAGAAAGAAGCTGCGCTACTTGACCTTCACATTCATAAAACATCCATGAGACTTAATATAGCTCTGAAGCTGAAAGAGCTGGGAGTGTGTAGCATGGGTTTGTGTCAGGCCAGAGTATCAGGCCAGGATCAAGGTGATGGAGGGTGAGACCTTAGAGGACACTGGATAAACAACACCAGTCACTCGTTTCATTCATTCATTCGTTCATTTGTTCAGCGCTCATTAAGCTCTTGCTCTGTGCCAGCCTGCACTGGGTTTTAAGGGAACGGAGAGAAGTCTGACATAGGCACTGCTGTCCAGAAGCTTAAAGTCTAGTGGGAGACATCTACCTGCAGAGATGGGGACATCAGCATCAAAATCTCCACATACAGGGGGTGGGCATTCAGCCCAGCAGTTAAGACGCCCGTGTCCCCTGCCACAGTGCCTGGGTTCAGTATGGCCATGGAGCAAAGACTACAGGCTGTGCACCGCTCACGTCCAGTGGGGCTCTTTTCACATGTCTGCGAGGTTGATCGAGCTGTGCCATGGCCGCTCTGATCACTGTCTGTGTTCCCTGGTGGCAGTGGACACTGGGCAAGAAAGGCATCAGATGGTCAGATCTGGAGGAACAGGAACGGCTTCATGGAGCAGTGACCTGGAAGAATGTTTTCAGGAACAGAGGGTAAGGCTGTTCCAGAGGGAGAAGCAGTGTGGACAGAAGCTGGCAGTTTGGAATGGTCTGGCACCATGAGGGAATAGCAAGCATTTGGAGTGGCTGAAATGTACCATTGGGGCAGCTGGGGGAACTCAGTGGAAGAAGGAATGGGTGAGAGGGAGAGGAGCTGGAGCCTGCAGGATCTCTGAAGTCAGGTTGAGGAGCTGGGACATTATCTGAGGGCAGAGGGGAGCCAGGGGCAAGTTTTAAAGGTAGTTTTAAAAGCAGGGTCAAGGCTGGCGCCGCAGCTCAATAGGCTAATCCTCCACCTGCGGTGCTGGCACACCGGGTTCTAGTCCCAGTCGGGACGCCGGATTCTGTCCCGGTTGCCCCTCTTCCAGGCCAGCTCTCTGCTATGGCCCGGGAGTGCACTGGAGGATGGTCCAAGTGCCTGGGCCCTGCAGCTGCATGGGAGACCAGGAGAAGCACCTGGCTCCTGCCTTCGGATCAGCGCAGTGCACCAGCCGCATCGGCCTTTGGAGGGTGAACCAACGGCAAAGGAAGACCTTTCTCTCTGTCTGTCTCTCTCATTGTCCACTCTGCCTGTCCAAAAAAAAAAAAAAAGAAGCCGGGTCAAGTGTGTGTCTGGCAGAAGTGGGGAGAAGGGCTTGGAGGGGAGGGCGTGGGGTGATAGGGGTGGGTTAAAAATCATCCAGGTAAAAGATGACTGGGGGTCTTAATAAAGAGGTGATCAGTGGGCTGAATGGGCGAGGTTGGATGTGAGGACATAGGAGAAAGATTAAGGAGGAGGAGTCAGCGTGACTTGGGGCTGGGTTGCTGTGAGGAGGAGAGAGGGAAAGACGGAAGGACCACTCCCAGGGCCTGGCTGGGCTCGAGGTGGGGGAGGCTGCAGGAGGAGGAGCAGGTGAGGCAGGGGAGACGATGAGGTCATGGCTTGGGGTTCTGTCCATTTCTGACATCCTTACTCAAGCTCATGAGTGGCAGCTCCTGTTTGGTGGAGGTGCTTGATTGACCCCTTGTGCCCCAGGCGGGCGGCTCCCTGGCTCCCACAGCATTCTGTCTGCTCTGCAGTACAGACGGGTGACGCTGTGACACTGAGTGTCTTGGTGCGTCCGTCTCCCACCAGCCTGAGCCTGGGGCAGGGTAGCATCCCCTCCATCACTGCATCACTGCAGCACCAGTGTCAGCTGTAGATGTTGTCACCGTCCTGCGCAGTGTTTGGGCTGTGTGCAGGAAGGGAGGGGGAGGCACAGGGTATCAGAGGGGCAGGGCCTTTCCTCTTCTCTCTGCAGGACATTTAGCCAGCGCCACCACGGACCTCACGAAACTGGACCATGAGGAGGAGCCTCCGCTCTCTGAGCCCTACCTTTCTAAACAGAAGAAGCTCATGGTGAGTGCCCTGGCCTGCAGACCCCCCCCCCCCCCACACACACACACCTTCTTTTCCATGGAAAGGAGCAACTAGAAGGTGCTGGTTCTACATAGAAGACCCACTGATGACATGAAATGGAAGAAACTATTGACTTGCTTTTCCAATCCTGTCCCCTCCACCGCTGGCCGACTGCTTGATCTTGGGCAGGCCACTGCCACCCCGGGCTTCTGTTTCCTCGTGTCTTGGGTTGTGTTCCTAAAAGCAGCACCTTGAGCAGAGGTCCTCAGCTGAGGAGAAAGTGTGGGATCTCTGAAGAAAACCCAGTAAGGATGGGGGTGGGGGAGCATGGAGAGGAAGCAAAGCCACATCCAGCGCCACAGATGCTTTGTGGCATAAAACGCAGTGTCAGGGTGGCCCGCCTCAGGGCAGGGACCAGCATTTCATGTCGCCGTATCCCTGCCTTCAGACTATCTGGTGGTAGAGCGGATGACCTCCCAGGGATTTCTGGTCTGAGCAGCTCCTCATTGGCTGAGAGCAATTCTCTGGGAAAGAGGCAGCTGTGAGCCACTGGCAGCCAGCAGCCGTGTGTAGGAGGGAGGGACCAGCCCCACAAAATGACCTAGGCAAGGAAGCCAAACCTATAGGACTGACAGTGGGACCTTCTCTCCCCCGAGGGGATATTTGGAGGCTGGGTTTGCAGAGTGGGTGAGGCACAGCTCCCTCTACCCCTGGATATCCTGGCTGTGTGGAGCCGGCTCAGCCTCCCCCGCTCCCACCTGCCCTATCCCCCAGGCCAAGATACTGGAGCATGATGACGTGAGCTACCTGAAGAAGATCCTCGGGGAGCTGGCCATGGTGCTGGACCAGATCGAGGCTGAGCTGGAGAAGAGGAAACTCGAGAATGAGGGTGGGTGCCAGCCTGGGCATGGTGGGGGCTGCAGCCCACCCAACCCTCCCTGCCCTGCCCAGCCCCGACTGCTGCTACAGCCAGACATTCAAGCTCACCCACTCTCTGACCCTGACTTCCTGCTTGCGAGCGGGTCTCTGAGTCTGACATGCCAGCTTCATTCCGCCTCCACAGCCTTGCTCCTATGGCTGGCGTACCCACCCCACGCTACCTGGCTCCATCTGCCAGTTACACCCCGTCTTTTTCAGAGCCCTCTTCAAATCCTTTCCATCTTGCTCTGTTTTCTGAGTCTGATAGTCCCGTCTCCTCAGCCATGCAGATGTATGACACTACTGCACGCATGGCTCCCTGCACACACGTGTCTGTGTATGTGGTGGGAGGGGACTGCAGAGCAGACTGGAAGGAGGCGTCTAGAGTGAGACAGCTTTGAGTTAGAGTTCCAGCTTTGCTGGATGGCCTTTGGGACTGTGGACAAATGGCTCTCCCGATCAGTCTTTGCTTCCTCATCTGTGAACTGGTGTGGTGAGACCACAACTTATAGCCCTTGACCCATCTTGATGGGTAAGATGGGAAGAGCACTTGGCCCCATTCTTGGCAATGCCAGTGGCAAACACGTGAGAGTGAAAGTGTGCCCGTTCTCCAGATGTGAAAAGGAAGGCTCCGAGAGATGCTGTGACGGGCTTGGTCAGGCAGCTCATAAACGGCATCGCTGGGCCAAGGACAGGGTCCCCCTCTGCAGCGGGCCCCGAGTCTCCTCAGCCTCAGGACACACACAGAAACCTAAAGTCCTGCTCAGCGATGCCACCGTGCCTATGGAAGCCAGCTTCCTTAAAGCCTTTCTGAAAATCCGCGTGGTATGGCTAAGTGAGTGAAAAATGCTGCCTACTTACACAGTAAGTTTCCTGCCACTACCTGAGACGGTGCCTGGGGGGAGTCAGGGCCGAAAGGCATGGTGGTCTGGCCTCCATGGTCAGATGGAGTCTCGGCTCTGCTGTCCTCTCGCTGGGTGACCTTGACTCTCGGCTGTTGTTTATTTCTGTATTAGATGTTAGGACTGCCAAGACAAAGTGTCAGCAGAAATCTCTATTGTCTCACCATTCTAGAGGCTGCAAGTCCAAGGTCAGGGTGTCGTCAGGGTTGATTCTGCTGAGCCTCTCTCCTTGGCACGCCTGTGGCCGCTTCCTGCTGAGTCTGGGCCACAGCCTCCTGGTGTCTTTGCACGTCCAAATCCCCTCTAACTACTGCAGTCCGAGTGTCTCGGGGCCCCCCGGAACATCCCCATTTTCACGTAACCACCTCTGTAAAGGCCCTTTCTACAAAGGCAGTCACACCCCGAGGTGCTGGGAGTTAAGTCTGGGCCACAGGGTTGCAAGGATCCACGAGCACAGGGAGTGCTGAGTGCTCTCACAGCGCCTGGCTGGAGGCGAAGTCCTCCAGGAGCAGAAATGGACACAATAATGGGGAAGACCTTGGTTTTTCACTCGTGCACTCAGACATTTACTGAACATCTGCTATGTGGCTTGTCCTGGAGGTACAGCTGTGAACCACAACCCGACATTGTTCCTGCTCTCATGGAGCTCACCTTGGGGAGGGGAAGGCCATTCGTCCAGTAATGTCGCAAGGCAACAGAGTCACAAACAGTGATTTGTGTTGAGAGCAGGACAGAAAAAGCCTCTGTGAGGAGCTGGACTTCAAGGTGTGACCGGAAGGAGCCCATTGGAGAACCAGGGGAGGTGGGTCCCAGGCTGAGGGAATGACAGGAGGTGGGAGAGGACAGGGATCCCCAGGTGACCGTGTGCTGTGTTGTGTGGTCAGTGATGTGAGTGAGCTTGGGAGGAGCTAGAGGGACAAGGTGAGATCGTGGCCTTGAGCTATCTATGTTGACAAGGTTAGATTTTGTACTAAATACAAGGGGAACTCCTAGGAAGGTTTTGTGTCCGTTAGCTCTTGCTGTATATCAAACCATCCCAAATATGAGTTTGTTCATGAGTTGTGGCCTGGTCTGGGGGCTGGGCTCAGCTGGGATAGCTCGTGGCTGTCCCATATGGGGACAGCTGGTCTCCCATGTTCGTGGCCAGTGGCAGTGGTCTCACAAGCATATCTGCTGTTGCTGCCATCTGCAAGGCCCTGGAGCTGACTGGGCCACTAGTTGCCCTAATCCAGCAGGCTAGCCCGGGCTCCTTCAGACAGCAATAGTTGCAGTGCGAGAATAGAGACCCGATGTGCAAACCCCCTCCAGCCTCTGCTTGTCCCACGTTTGCTCTGAAGTCCCCCGAGCTCAAGCGAGTGATCCGGTAAAGCCCAGGTTGAGGGGTGGAGGCTTAGACTCTGCCTCCTGATGGCAGCACAGCCGCATCACCCAGGGGTGTGTGTACAGGAGTGGAGGGGATTGTGGCCACTCTTGCAGTCTGTGAGGTGCTGAGTTCTGATGGCCTTGTGGAAATGGATTCCAGGGAGGCCACTGGAGCCACCTGGGAGACAGGTGATGTTGGCTTGGGCTGAGGTGGCCACAGTGGAGATGGAGAGGTGTGATGGACTTAAGAAGGATTGGGGGATAGAAAGGAACTTGACAGTGGGGGGAGGAGTGAAGGGAGGAGAGGCCTGAACCACTGAAGGGAACCATTTGCTGATGGGGCAAGGAGGAACTGAGGGTTCCATTTGGGAGACAGTGAGTTTGGGATGCCTTTGAGACACCCCGGGGGATATCACATAGGCGTGAGACACTATAGTCTGGCTCTCAAAGGAGGGGTCAGGATTTGGAGCTAGGGACTCGGGAGAGCTCAGCCACCACATGACGTGCAAAGCTGCAGAAACGGATGGTCTTCTAGGGAGGGATGAAGAGAGACAGAGGAGCAGTTGGGCCGAGTTAGCTGCCTCTAGCTGCGTAACGGAGAGCTCTGAGGCTCCCACAAAGAAAGCGCTTCCTGCAGATCCGGGGTTCTGGAGCGGCTTAGCTGGCTGGCTCTCGTTCCGGACTGTCTGGTGCAGGTCGTAGTCACGCCGTGGGCTGAGGCTGTGGTCATTTACGGCCTGACGAGGGCTGGAGGATTCCCTTCTGAGCTGGTTCATCCCCACGGTTCTTAGCTAGAGGCGCAGGGCCTCACTGGTGAGCTAAGCAGATCTCAGGTCCTCAGCGCCATGGCCCTCTCCCAGCGCTGCTTGGGTTTCCTTGCAGTATGGCAGCTGACTGTCTCCCGAGTGAGTGATCCCAGACAGACAGAGGCAGAAGGCACAGTGTCTCCTGTGGCCTGCCATGCTCTGCGCAGAAGTCACGAAACACAGCCCCTACTGCAGAGGGGGCAGATTTGGGCTCCACTGAAGGGTGCAGCATCAGGTAGTTGTCAACATATTTTACAACCACCTCAGCTGCCATGGGCTCTGCCACTCTGAGGAGGAAAACAGGCAGAGGTGCCAGAGGGGGAGTGGCCAGACAGCGCAGAGGGCCTGTCTCTCAGGAGCTGGGACTAGGCTGTGTTTTAAGGAGGCAGATGGTGTCAGATGCTACTCAGAGACTGAGTGAGCCAGGAGAGGAAAGAGCCCTGGATTTGTTATGAAGAATATTGGCAGTGGCCTCACCAAGAGCAGTTGCACAAGGGTGTGGGGGCAAAAGGCAAATTGGAACAAGTTAAAGAATGAATGGGAGGCAAGGAACAGAACAGCCCTTGTGCAAAGTGTGCCTGCAGACGGAACAGAGAAGCGGGAGCTGGAGACGGATGCGGGCTGAGCAGAGGCAAAGGTTTAAGACAGGAGACAGACGGGTGTGTTTTCACGCTGCTCGGAATGACGCGGCAGAAAGAAGTGGATGGTGTGGGAGCGGCCACACAAAGATCATGGGAAGACAGGAGGGCGTGGGAAACGGGTCATCCTCCAACTGGGCCAAATTAGAGGGCTCAATAAAGGGACTGTGGGCAGGACGCAGGGACACAAGACAACGAGCAGCACCCTGGCCCTGACATCCTTAGGGGTGGGAGCAGATTCAAGAACTGGGACAGAGACAGTGTTGGGGGGCCACCAGACAGGCCACCTGACTTTCAGTTCAGGGCCACCCTGGCCAGGGCCACCCACAGAGTGGGGCTGATGGAGGCAAATCTCCAGCCTCGCTCCCTCCTTGCCTAACCCTGGGGAGCCAGAGGGCAGGGACCCCAGTGACACCTCCATTACGTCGGCCTTCCGGGGCGCGGAGCAGCGTGGTGAAGGTGGGAGGGTCTAGACGGGGAAACTGAAGATGCGCAGGCCCGGATGCATAGGACAGCACCTGCCATGGTGTCCCCGACGGCAGCCAGCAGAGGTGCCTGCCTGCGGGTTTGTGGGCGTCAAGGCGGAGAGTGAGGGCCTTCGTGTCCGAAGGCTTCTCTTTTCAGAACGAAGAGACCCCTGAGGAAAGGGCTGAGCGAAGTGGGAGAAGATGCAAAGACACGCGATTGTCTGCTCAGAGAAGGAGGTGATGGGGCCGTCAGCAGAGTGCCCTCCAGGGCGTGGGCGTGGGCGTGGCAAGGTGTGGATGGCCAGCTTTATGGGGAGCTGGCAGACTGGGAGAAGCACCAGGTGGGGTTCATGCATGGCTAGAAGAGAGGAGAGGAGGAAAGGGAAGGGGCAGGGCCTCAGGTGACATCCAGACAGCTACACAGGAGCTTGCATGGACACAGTTGTGCATTGTAGCTATTGGTATTTGCCTACAAACATAAATAGCATAATTGTAACCCACACATACAAGCTCGTGAACATGTCTACAGGCAAACAGCCAGGTGATGTGGGCATGCTCTATGCTAACCCACGTGGTGATCCCACGCCACAGAAAGATGCCCATGTGTGCAATACCCTTGTGCGTAGACAGCTGCAGGGACTTGGACAGCAGACACAGGGGTAAACACAGACCATGCAGGATACAGAAACACAGGCAGGTCTACACACAGCCCCAAGGTTGTCTACACACAACCTACTGCAAGGGGCCTGAGTGTACGTGGAGCCACATGCTGTGTCCATGTTCATTTGCATGTTAAAAGAAACAGCCTAATGTAGTGGTTATGCGCACAGACTGGAACCAGATGACCTCCAAGCTCTGCTTTGCCCATTGATGAGCTAAGTGGCTTTGGCCAAGTTATGTAAGCTCTCTCTGTCTAGTTGTCCTCATCTGTAGAAAGTAGAACTGCTTGGTAGAGCTGTTATGAGGATTAAGGGACCTACACCCTGCTGGTTTATCTACTGCCTTACAAGCTGCCCAGTCTCACCCCTTTCCGGGTTTCTCCTTGTTGCTGGGGGTGAAAGCTTGGGGGGCCCCAGAGCTCAGCTTTGGCCTCTGCTCAACTCTGCGTGTAGTCCCCCCCTTGCTGGAACCCTGCGGTCTGTGGCTGGGGACTTCCATCTCTTGACCCTGCCTCCCCTCACTGTCCCTCACCCCATCCCAGCCTCGTCTCCCCAGCCCCTCCCTGGCGTGTTGCCCTGAGTGCTTCCTTGCTGCACTCTCCGCTCCCTGGCCTCTCGTGTTTCACCACACTCACTTTGCACAACCTCCGACTGGTTAAACCTGACTCCCCACCCACTCAGCACCTGCACTGTGATCCCAGATGTGGCTGGACTCACTTGAACTCATGAGCGCAACTCGCAGGGGACCTAGACGCTGCCCCGGCCTCCCACTGCTCCCTCTCCAGGTGGCTCCCTAACCTCCCTGTCCTTAACCCTCCGATCGCTTTGTCACTGAGAAAATCGAAGCATTGGAAGAGACTGCACAGCTCTGCTCCCCACAACCACCATCCGCTGGCATCAGTGTCCACACCTAAATTGTTTCTCACCAATTGCAGGGTGCATTTTTGTTCAATCACATCTTAACACCCCTGAAACTGGAATGCTTCTCACAATCAGAAGCTTCATTACCTCTCTTACTTTGGGGCAGTGTCTTACATTTGGTGATGACTGAGATTGGATGGAATGTGGTAGCACATATTCCCTCTCGTTGCCAAGGATGAACTAGCTAAGACCAGTCCCTTCCCTAGCGCACTGCAAACCATCCACACTCATCCCCTCCAGACACCTGTCCGTAATTCTCTCCGCTCTTCCTGGTAGAGGCATTTCTCGTCTCTGCTGGATCTTTCCCATCGATGTGCTTTGAAACGTGCATTTGACCTGTCTCACTCTGTTGGCCTGCCCTTCCTGTTACATCAAAACTTGAAACAATGATCTTTGCTCACTGCCTCCAATTCCTCTCCTCCTTTTTTGAACACCCTCCAACCAGGCTTTCAGCAGCAGCATTCTGCTCCACTTGCCTTTGTCAAGGTCACCAGTCACTAAACGCAATCACCACTTCTCAGGTCTCCTCTTATTTGACCCAGATTTTGAACACACTGAGCACTCCCTCCTCTTTGCCACCACGCCCCCCTGGTTTGTCTCCTATCTCACAAGATGCTCCTCACCCCTCTGCTGCTTTCTCCTTCTTGCCCAGTGTCTAAGCTTTGGAGCATCCCCTTTCTAGTGCCATGCAGTCTCCCAGCTTCAAGACCCACCTCTCTGCTGAGGACACTGAACCAGGCGCTGCCTCCACCTGCTGCCTCACTGTCTCTCTCCCCTGCATGTCCATCTGGCATCTTGGAAGTTATATACACAAGAACAACTTCGGGCTAAAGCCTTCACTCTATCTTAACTCCTTCCCTCCATGGCCCTGAGCCTCCCGAGGGAAGTCATTGTGTCTTGAAATGTCTTCATCCCAGCACATACTCCCAGGTCAATATCTGTTGAAGTAACAGGAAGCATGCTGGGGGTGGCAGTTTTGATGATGGAGGGCATCCGATTCATGGAATTCCTGAGCTGGAAGGAATAGCTCATCCAAATGTGCGGAAGTGCTCTTCCCAGGAAAGCAGACTTTACAGGAAGTGGAGGGAGAGAAGAGAGCATCACGGGCGTGGGACACAGCAGGGACGAAGGCCCAGAGGCTGCGATGGGCGTGGCCTGTTTGGGGGAACAGTGAGCAGACAGGCAATTTGAGAGAAGTCAAGATTAGAGAAGTTGGCCGGCGCCGTGGCTCACTAGGCTAATCCTCTGCCTTGCAGCGCCAGTTCTAGTCCCAGTCGGGGCGCCAGATTCTGTCCCTGTTGCCCCTCTTCCAGGCCAGCTCTCTGCTGTGGCCCGGGAGTGCAGTGGAGGATGGCCCAAGTGCTTGGGCCCTGCACCCCATGGGAGACCAGGAGAAGCACCTGGCTTCTGCCTTAAGATCAGCGCGGTGCGCCAGCCGCGGCGGCCATTGGAGGGTGAACCAACGGCAAAGGAAGACCATTCTCTCTGTCTGTCTCTCTCACTGTCCACTCTGCCTGTCAAAAAAAAAAAAAAAAAAAGATTAGAGAAGTATATTGGAGCTAAACCCTCTCTCGAAAGGGCTTCAAAACCAAGCAAAAGAATTTAGACATGAACTTGTAGTCAGTGAGGAGAACTGAAGGTCTGTGAGCAAAGAGGTGAGAGAGACGAAGGAGCTGCAGAACTTCAAGTCTAAGCAGCCGGGAGAGGCAGCGTGCACAAAGCGTACCCTCTGCATGCAGGCTGCTTTTAGATGCCCACGACCGTGGTGAGAACAATTAGAACCACACACTGAGGATTACTCTCTTTTCAGTTCTTTTGACCATATCAAAGAAAGGGTGCTTGTTGCTACCTTTAAATATGTGTTAACCCCTTTATAATGTGTTAATATTGGCCCCTTTAAAAAAATACAACAAGCAAACAAAACATAAGTCTTGGCCTCAGAGGTTTTGGTGAGCAGTTGCACCAGTCAGAGCTGAATGGTATGTGTTTTGTTCGGCTTAGTTTTATCATTTCAGATAGTTTGTGGCTAACAACACTGATCATGGCACCATCAGTCATCCCATAAAGACTGGCTGAGGCCGGCGCCGTGGCTCACTAGGCTAATCCTCTGCCTTGTGGCGCCGGCACACCAGGTTCTAGTCCTGGTCAGGGCGCCGGATTCTGTCCCGGTTGCCCCTCTTCCAGGCCAGCTCTCTGCTGTGGCCCAGGAAGGCAGTGGAGGATGGCCCAAGTGCTTGGGCCCTGCATCCGCATGGGAGACCAGGAGAAGCACATGGCTTCTGGCTTCAGATCAGCGCGGTGCGCCGGTCGCAGCGCGCCGGCCGTGGCAGCCATTGGGGGGTGAACCAATGGCAAAAGGAAGACCTTTCTCTCTGTCTCTCTCACTGTCCACTCTATCAAGAAAAAAAAAAAAAAGACTGGCTGAACACCCACTGTGCATCAGGCACTGTCTCAGGTGCGAGATCCAGCCATGAGCACGCAGGTCCAAGTCCCTGCCCCACAGAGTCTGACAGAGTAGATACGGGAAACAGATGGCGCAGAGCAGTGACAAGCTCTGTGGAGGGAAACAAAGCAGGGCAGAGGACGGCGGCTGCTGGCCGGGGGTCATTTATAAGTCGCTGGTCCATGAAGCCCCCTGAGAAGATGCCTCTGAGCCAAGACCTGAGGAGGCAGAGGACTGAGTCCTGTGGAGGATTCTGTTCCAGGCCCAGAGGTGGGCTGTTCCTGGCCTGAGGGCTGCAAGGAGGGTAGTGTGGCTGGAGGAGTAGAAGAGGGGGGAAGTAGAATCAGGTCTGAGCCATGCCCGAGGGCCAAATCTCGCAGCGCCTGGGAGCTTAGAGGGCCCAGCTTTTACTGTGACCCCAACAAGGTGCCCCTCAGGGGGCTTGGGTGCAGAAAAGTGGCATGGTCAGGGTGAAGTTCTCAGGACCCCCGGCGGCTGTGCTGAGTGAACTCTGGGGGCAGGGAGACCTCAGGGGACGCTGTGCGCACTGGGGTAGGCGAGCACGGCTGTTTACACCAGGACGGTGCAGGTGGCATCAGACCCTGGCTGTGTTTTTAAAATAAAGCCGATGGGAACTGCTGGCCATGTATGTGGGGCCTGGAGGGTAGAAGAAAGGAAAGGCAATAACTCATGTTGGCACCAAGGACTCCGGCCTGAGCGGCTGGAAGGGTGGAGGTGGACGTGTGTGGACACCCAAGTGGGGCTGTCAGGGACAGTGGATTTGTGAGTCTGGAGTGTAAACCCCTACTTGCGCTCAAGTCAGCTGACTTACAGAAAAACGTGATAGAGGCAGCATCAGGGTAAGGCGGTGGCACCACCAGGAATAGTGGGAAGCACGATGGTGGGCAGGCGGAAGCCAGGGGACTGGTGAGAGGGAAGTGGTGTCGACCTCTGCTCTCTCCCGCTGCAGGGCAGAAGTGCGAGCTGTGGCTCTGCGGCTGCGCCTTCACCCTCGCCGACGTCCTCCTCGGAGCCACCCTGCACCGCCTCAAGTTCCTGGGACTGTCCAAGAAATACTGGGAAGACGGCAGCCGGCCCAACCTGCAGTCCTTCTTTGAGAGGGTCCAGAGACGCTTTGCTTTCCGGAAAGTTCTAGGCGACATCCACACCACCCTGCTGTCAGCCGTCATCCCCAATGCGTTCCGGCTGGTCAAGCGGAAGCCCCCCTCGTTCTTCGGGGCGTCCTTCCTCATGGGCTCCCTGGGCGGGATGGGCTACTTTGCCTACTGGTACCTCAAGAAAAAATACATCTAGAGCCAGGCCGGGCTTGACGTCTGACTGTCGGTGTGTCTGCCGTGTGATACCCCACGAGCTCTCCACCACCCATGTCCCATGAACACGCGGCAGCCCCTCCCCGCCCCTGTTCTGAGTACTCCCATCGTCAGTGTGGACACGTGCCATAGTGTAGAAGTAGACGTTGCCAATGCGTGACCGTGACCGTGACCTTGACCAGAGGCCGCGGCTCTGCTAAGGACCGGAAGGAAGTGAAAGTGGAAACAACCTGAATGCCTTTCCTTTTGACTCAAGGTCTCGAGACAGAACTGCGGGGGCTGGTTAGGACCTGAGGTGAGTCCCCTGCCATTTCATCCAGCGGGGCCCAGATTCTGAGAGGTGCTGGAGGCTCAGGGGGCCTGACCCCTCGGCTCTGCTTCCCTCTTGCCCAGGGAACTCTTCCACGGGACAAAGCCAACATCGAGACTCGACTCTTCTAACCAGTACCTCTGCGTGGGGCTGGAGGGCCAGAGATGCCCCCGGGAGGCCCCTGAAGATCAGAAGGGGCTTCGTTCTTCTCCTGGACATGGACTGAGGCAGCCCTGGCTCGGGCCAAGGCGGTGGCACCCAAACACCAGGCCATGGTTGGGACCAACCTGGAGAGCATACCCTCATCCCTCCCAATTTGGCATTGGAACAGAAAGCCCCAGAGGCAGCCTCTGTCACCCTTGCCTACCTTAGAGCTTTCCCATAAGGTGGGACGTTCAGTAAAAGCCATGCTGACCTTCTGCCCGAAGGTCAGGCCCAGCCCAGGGCAGGGGCGGGTCCCTCTCCAGGCTCCGCCCATGCCACCTCCTCCGACGCCCTCCTTCCCCATCAGGCCCTGGGGCCCCCCATGTTGCACCGTGCCACGCAGGGAGGTCTCTGCATCCACACTGCCCACCCTGGACAGGGCTCGCCTTCCTGTGCCTTTCGCATGTTGGGAAAGGGTCTGGGTGTCACCGAGGCTCATGCTTAGAAACCACTGAAAGTCCCCAATAAAGCATCCAGGAGGAGCCATTGCTTTTCTTTTCTAACCCGGTGGGGTCCACCCAACTCTCGTCTCCAAAACGGGCTAGAGGCGGGGAGACACGAAGTTTCCAGCTCACTTCTCAGCAAGAGCAAGCAGGAGTTGCGTTCAGCGGTCAGGCTGCTGGGTCTGCGGCTGGCTTCTGGAGAGACTTCCCACAGCTCTGCTCTTGACTCGGGCACAGCGCTTCCCAGCGCACTGAGCACGCTCAGAACCACCGGCTCACGATACCCATCCATGGACCTCAGGTGGGCACCCAGGGCACACCCCTCCACCCCACAGCCCCAGCAGGGAAAATCTGTTAAAATGCCCAAAGAACATTAAACCAGAGTATAATTGATGGAATATAAGGCATAGTTTTATTTATTTTGAAAAAAAAAAAGAATGAAAATTTGCACAACTTTTCATCAAGGGAAAAAGAAAAAATAGCCAGGGTTAAGCAAGGCAAGGTGGATCTTAGGGTCCACAGACAGCAACTGGCACTGCCCACCCCCCAGGCTGCGCAAACACCCACACTGGCACTCCCCACTCACAGTAAAACCTGAACAAGGTCTTCATGCTCAACCTAACAGGATTGGCCCCTCTCCCAGGATGAGGACCTGCTCACCCCCTCCTAAAAGAAGACTCACAAACACCACTCTGTAGGATGCTGGAGTCTCTTCCCATTCCTCCTCTAGTCCCATCCCATCATACACAGGTTAAAATGCCAGTGTAACTGTCATCAGCATCCCTTATAGTCAGTGCACCTGCACCCAGGAACAAAGAAGAAAATACCCATGGCTGGTGCCGCGGCTCACTAAGCTAATCCTCTGCCTTGCGGCGCCGGCACACCGGGTTCTAGTCCCGGTCGGGGCGCCGGATTCTGTCCCTGTTGCCCCTCTTCCAGGCCAGCTCTCTGCTGTGGCCAGAGAGTGCAGTGGAGGATGGCCCAAGTCCTTGGGCCCTGCACCCCATGGGAGACCAGGATAAGTACCTGGCTCCTGCCATCGGATCAGCGTGGTGCGCCGGCCACAGCGCGCCAGCCGTGGCAGCCATTGGAGGGTGAACCAACGGCAAAGGAAGACCTTTCTCTCTCTCTCTCTCTCTCTCTCTCTCTCTCTGTCTACTCTTCCTGTCAAAAAAAAAAAAAAAAATTAAAAAAAAAAATACCCATGTCTGCTCCAGCCCTCACTGCTGTAACTGAGCCCAAGTCACTGCTGACATTTAAATTTCTTTCTCTCTAGCTAGTCCTCGGCCCTCAGCCAGCATCTCAGCTGCTGGGGGTGTCTCGCCAGGTGAAATGGCTCAAGCTTGGTGGCCCTTGGGTTGCTGTGCTCTTCCACTACTCTTTTCGTATTGGATGTGGACGTGCAATGGGGCACCCGATTTCTACACATAGTCTTCATGTTACCATCGTGCAGGAAGAGCCCAGTGCATCCTTAGTAGTCAAGATCACGTGCCCCAGCCAGAAGAGTATCCGACTTCTTTGCCTGTAGTTTCAATGATACGAGGAGCTCGATGGCCAAGTGGAAGTCTCAACTTCTAATTCAGCTGAACCACTCAAGTCCAAGAGGCACTGCTGCCTTGGGAGCAGTAAGGGTTGAGGCTGGCGCCGCGGCTCACTAGGCTAATCCTCCACCTGCGGCACTGGCACACCGGGTTCTAGTCCCGGTTGGGGCGCCGGATTCTGTCCTGGTTGCCCCTCTTCCAGGCCAGCTCTCTGCTGTGGCCCGGGAGTGCAGTGGAGGATGGCCCAAGTGCCTGGGCCCTGCACCCGCATGGGAGACCAGGAGAAACACCTGGCTCCTGGCTTCGGATCAGCGCGGTGCACCAGCTGCAGCGCGCTGGCCGCGGTGGCCACTGGAGGGTGAACCAACGGCAAAGGAAGACCTTTCTCTCTGTCTGTCTCTCTCACTGTCCACTCTGCCTGTCAAAAAAAAAAAAAAAAAGTAAGGCCTAAGCCATCAGAGTCCAAAGTTTCAGGGATGGGAACACAAGTCTTGGGGATGAGTTATTCTGTGCAGTAGTGAGGTTACTTCCACGTCCACCTCAGCATTGCTGGACTCACACTGGCTGGCTGCAGTGGATACACTGTATCCTGCAGGACACAGCTACAACCCTGCAGTGTCTCCAGCTGGCACTGTAACAGGGTCTCCCATTGGCCATTTCAGTGTTCTGGTCCAGCAGCTTAAAGATGAGAGAAGTTCAGAGTAAGACCAGAAACGTCGGCAGGTGCAACCACATTGCTGTGTTTCTTTTGCTGTAACATCAGCTCTTTGTCAGCAGTGGTGTTACATGTGGAATAGCAAAACTGAAACCCAGGCATCGTAGTCCATGGATGCAGTGGTCAGAGAAAGCAGAACCACATGCAGAAAGTGAGTACAGATTGCTGCTCCCTGTGATGGAAGGGATTCGACGTAAGCTGACACTTAGTGGCTAGTTCCTGTGGTGGACGGCGCCCTGGCAGGAACTCTGTGGAAGCTGAGCCCTCGGCAGTAGGATTAGCCGAATCAGTCTTGATGAGAAAAATTCCATGTGTCCGTTAGTAGCCTCTGGCTCAACGGTCATGGCCAGTCTGTGTGTGAGCCTACTGAGCAAGACTGGAGTGGCCAGGGAGAGAGAACGACTGACATCGCAGCACAGGTTGTCCATGGGCTCGCTGACCCACGGGCTCCTCTGCAGCAGGTCTCCTTGAAAGGAACTCTGGTGCTGGGCAGTGGGAGGTCCATTCACGCACATTCCCCCAGACCTCCTTCCCATCAGCCCTCCGGTCCCGATCTTCCCACGCTCCTGACCATCCAGCAAACCCACCCAGTCCAGCGATTGTGTGACGTCACATTTCTGGACTTTTAGCTCCACTTGGAAAAAGCGGATAACCAAATGTGCAGCTTGGAACTCTGTCCACTCACAGGACTTGCCTCCTGCTACGCCTCTCGGGCGTTCTTGAGTGCTACGGCCATCCGTTTCCAGTTGGCTCCAGGCCTGAGTTTTTTCTTCCTGCATCAACTAATCATGGGGACTTCTCTCCCAGGCCTCTGCTGAAGGAGAGGCAGCAGTGTGGCAGAACCAGGACAGTCTGAGCTGTGTCACTTTCACTTGATGACAGACTACTTACGCATGTGCCCAGCTTTATGGCTGGATGGGTCAGCTGACACCCGGTGCGTGAGTTCACGTTGCACAGTCACTTGGCGTCTCGTGGTCAGGGGCTTGGTATCGACCAAAGCCCAGGAGCAAGCACTCAGCACTGCTCAGAAAGAACAACTGTCATTTGCAGGAGAGGGCATGGCTTTATGTCAAGTCCGCCAGGGACGCCCTGAGGTCTTTCTGTTCGAGCTCACGGAACACTCCATGCTGTGTGCTTTCCTCACAGTGTGCACAGCTGGATCTGCTGGATCGTGAGGCGCAGCTGGCCGAGCTTCTAACACTGTGGCCCGAACCTGCCTTGGGACGCAGTCCTAACTGGTGGTTGGGGGACACTCGGTGAACGGTTTGAGCAGCACATACAAAGGGGTGTGTGTGGCCTCCAAAATTCCAAGGGGGCCAACAATTGCTGTGCTTTTTCTTAGTAGCAGGTGCACCTTGTTCCTCACTTGGAGGGCTTATCTTGACCTGTGATGCTTTGATGACTCCACTCCGAGAGAAGGCAGAGATGACTGTTTTGGGGGCCCAGGGATTTGAGCTGGGCAAGATGAGATGTGTTAGCTGGGGCAGAAGTAGGAGCAGGAGCAGAGAAGCACGTTGACTTGGCTCTGGTTCCCTGGCAGGGGGACTAGGTAGAAGAAAACCCATTCACAACACTCCTGGAGCACCTATCCTGGGCCAGGCTCATTAAATGGGACCAGTTTCCAGCCCATCTCCCGCGGGACCTTGGGGCCGAAGAAGCAAGCAATACTGCTCAAAGGTGAGAAGCACGCTGGGAGCAGGATGGGAGGCAGTTTTGGCCACCGTGATAAATGTTGGGGGTGGGGAAGGGGCTGAGATTAGCAGGAAGAAGGGGAGGTCTGTGACCCTGCAGGTCAGAGATGGCTTCTCACACCAAAGACAGAGAAAGCCCATCTCAGTTGGGACACAGGGAGGGTCTTCAGTTGTTGGAAGAGCTGGTAACTCTTTCTAGAACCTGCAGGACGGCTACCCAACGGAGCTGTCTCCCAACAAATGCCTAGCGCATTGTGGCTTTCCCAGCAGCGTCTACATGGACGAAGCAAGGCGGCCAGGCCTGGAGAAGCAAACATAAGGACGGAGGTGGAGCACAGGGGTGGGCGATGCAGAATTGCCTGTGTGAGGCTGAGCTGCTTTACCAAGAAACAGCAGGGACCTAGGAGAGTAAAAGTTCCATTATCTTCCGATACCCAGGTGAGGGCTGTGCGCTGGCACAGAATCTTGGTTCCCAGGTTCACTCTGCAAGCTTGAGCTCCACCTTCCAGGGCCCCGTCTGCGCGTGCACGGTCAGAACTCGGGCACAGAGGAGGCATTCGGGATAGCAGTGAAGCTGCCAGCTGGGACGCCCACGTCACATCTCGGAGTGCCTGGGCTTAAGTCCTAGCTCCGTTCCCAATTCCAGCAGTCCTGCTACTGTGCACCGGGGGAGGCAGCAGGCAGTCAGTCCTTGCCTCATTGCCACGGAGGTGGGAAAAGGGCTACGGCAGACAGTCCAAGTAGGGCTGGAATAACTTTGCTCCAGAAATTAAGATGCTGATCGGGTGGTTCTCGGGCTCTGTGCCCACTCACCTCCTAGGCACTCAGGCTTTGCCAGTACACGTACCCAGGTGGCCACACCCTACAAAGACAGGATCCCATAAGGATCCCAGCCTAGTCCCTTAAAATAAGTAGCCTGGGAACCAGGGTCAGGCAGCCCTTAGCTGGCCTGAGTGGACAGCACCTCAAACGAAATAGGGGACTATTTTATCTTAGCAAGAAAGATACCATGGATACAATGAGTCCTTTCCTTTTATCTCTTCTCAAAGCCCTGCACCCTCTAGCTGGCCCCAAGGCCAGGCTGCACAGTCC